ACACACACACACACACACACACACACACACACACACAGAGTGCCTGTTTGATTTAACGACTATTGTTTCAAATATTGTTAACGAGGATATGTCTGTTGTTGCAATGCCTAAAAATAAAGTCAAGTTACGGTTTACGAAAGCTAGGAACGGAGAACCATCTGATGATCTCTTTATTCAGAACCTTCTCCGTTAAAACACCGAAAAGGAATTATTTTATATGTGTGTCTGTTCCCTTTAATGCACAAGTTTCCAAAGTGTTTTAAGTTAATATTCTGTGGGTCTTCCGTCATACCACTAATATATTTACGGCTCTACAAGTGTGTTCCTGTTCAAGTTTGATTCTTTATGGTGGTGAATCAAAAACATGTAGCTACAGCGCGACATGTCCGAACGAATGACTCTTATGAGTCGGTTCTTTTTAGTGAATCAAAAACACAAGTTGGAGCGTTTGAAGAATTATCTGACTCAAGGGTCGTTACTTCTCAGTATTTCTGGTTGTTCATATGATAACATGTAGTTAAAGATACACTTTGTGAGTTGTAGTCATTGATATTTAACAATTAATAAATAATTAATAAAATATCCCTGTCCATACTTTGCGTATATGTTTCGTATGTTATATTTTCATGAATAGCCATTGCCAATTAAAAAAAAAGAATTATATATATATATATATATATATATATATATAAATGTATTTGTTTGTTTGCTTGTATATATATATATATATATAATATTTCTGCAAGAATTCCAGATTATTTTTGAATTAAAGTTATTTCTAAATGTATTCTATTTATTCTTTTCCGAATCTGAAGTGTTCTCATAATTTATAGAAGAAACGGAAACAGATCGTTCAATTGCCCATGATTAATTAATTAATTATTATTATTGGCCATTGCTGTAATTGGCTCATATAATTAGCTTTAGCAATAGCAACAGGCCTTAGCCTTCAATCAGACAGACAGTAAAGGCTGAAGTTGATTCAATCTGTACTCTCAGAAGAGGATGCACAAAATAAGTAGGCCTACTCCATCGCTTGTTAGTTGCTCAGTCATTGCTAAAATTGACGGTTCCGAAAAAGTGAGTCAGTAGAGCACAAAAGCACTTGACTTAATTTAATTTAAATCACTTGCCTATCTTCTGCTGCGATCTGACCATTGGTTTCCCTGGAGACCTTGCCATATCTATGGCAACAAATAGATTTTTACAGGAGTTGAAATAGAACAGGCTCCAAATAGTGACCCGAGGAGAAAGAAACCCCCGGGTGATGCCGGGTCTCCAGGAATAGAATAAGACATTGAGTTATGGACATGTACTCTCAAACAAAAAGTTGTCATTACTTACTCACGTCATTCCAAACTGGTATGACCTTTGTTCCATAACACAATAAATAAATAAAAAAAATCTTGGAGCTTTAAGCTGAAGAACTAAAAATATTATTAAATCAGTCCATATGGGATGCCATACAATATTTGTGTGAGAAACTAACAAAAAAAAAAAGTTTTTGTTTAATGAAAATATTGAAATCAGCAGGGTTCTCCTTGGCAAGCTGAGAAAAGTAACGATCTCCGACTTGTGAATAAATCATTCCATGAATCTGAATGATTCATTCAGGAATCATAAGGATCCGATTCTCCCGTTCGACTCACTGATTCAGTGATCCGGTCGCAACAGTTAACAGCTTAATTTTCGGTGTTTCTCACAAAACTATCCTTTTACTTCCAAAGACTTGGAATAATTGTCACATGGATGACATTTACGACACTTTTATGGTGTTTTGTGTCTTTTTTAGGCTTAAATACCATAACTGCATCGAGGAAAAAATGATCACCTATTCTTCGACAGGAGTAACGTTAGTAGGCATACGCGTTTAGAACAATATAAGGGTGAGTAAATGCGACTGATTTTTTGAGTGCTAAATGTGGTATATATTGATAATTATGTCCAGAAAATTGAGTCAAAAAAAATTGTTCATAAAATTCAAAGTATACGATCTTGTCAAGTGGTATTACCCAGGCACAGCTGTGTCGCTGTATTGAAACCCTACTGAAAAAGACAAAGACAATAGAAACCATCACAGAAATTCTAATGGTTTCCACTACAAATACCATTACAAACCATCAACTTTTAACCATTAAAAATGGTTTCCTGTAGTGTGTTTTGGGACATATTCCATTAGGATTTAGCGGTTTTATCAAACCACCAATAAATAGAAGGTGACCAATTACCAGTAGAGACCAACAGGCACCATTACAGTTTCCTTTAAAACCAATACAATTCCCATTATAACCAGTAAAACCATTACGAATTCTGTGATGGTTTCTGTTGTTGTTTTTTTCCACAGGGAAGCATTTAGTTGGACAGACTGTTGGACAGATATAAAAATCAGGAATATCTGTTTTAAATGTAGATAAAAAGCATAACCTATTAGCTATGGTTAGGTTGATAAATCTAACAAAACCATAATAAGAAAGAAGCCCACTGCTGCCCTCTAGTGGCAAAATTGGTATCTTGGGAACAGTTGGCACTTTGCAGTGTTAGCAAAATATACAGGAACTCAAAAAAAAATTATATCTTTTTGAATTTAATTCAGTTTAAAATATTATACATAGCTAGCTTACCGTTTTATTATTTATTATATCATTTAATTTTATTATTCATCAACAATTGTATTACAGTTATTCTAATAAAGATCTTTATTCAGACTTTAAATAGATTTACAAAGCATACCAAAAAGAAAAGGGGAGGGGGAAAAAAGTACAAACAAGAAGGGGAAAGTGTCCCAAAATACCCTGTGTGCATATGAATTTGCTGAAAGTGTCTGTTCGGGTCAAGAGGTCAGCCGCAAACACACCAAAGTCTTGTGTCCATTTTCCTGAGGACGATTTTAGGTTAGAGTCACCACAAAGGTTTAAAATGAAAAAGGATATATAACAAAACTAAAATACCAGCAAATGTCAAAGAGTAGCTAAATATAGTGAAGATTCAAATGCACTACCACGCCACCCCATAAAATCGAAAACAAAACAAATAAGACAGGCTTGTTGATGGATAAAATGAATCGTTAAAGTCCAAAAAGAGGACGAAGCTTAGAATGGTGTGAACTGTATGTGATGCATCCATTTATTAAACCTCTTGCCCCCCTTGCCTTTTATCTGAGAAGCATGTTTAGTCCTTGGCTACAGAAGCAGAATATGATGCATTGTGGTGTAAGAAACAGAAGTAGCCCTGAGAATGTGTATTAGCTACTTTTGTCCCCACCAAAGACGCCAATACTGTTGAATCATAGACATTGAAACCTGAGATCAGGTGCCTTTGAAAGGCAAGTTATCGAGAATCAAATAAACATGAGCTGGACTGTTTCGCACCGATGGGCTGAACCCAACCTGCCCCCCAAAACAACAAGAAATAAAACAAAAACAAACCCCCAAAACGTCTCGGTTTGGAGTTGACTGCAACTTTTGGTTGCTACTTGAACAGACGTACAATTAATTCATCGGGATCCAAAACCTCTACGCAAATAATCTCTCGCCCTTCGTGATGTCTGGGATCTCAGATCTTCAAAAACTGAAAAAAAAACAAAAATTCCTTTTCGACTTGATTTAAAAGCTACGAAACCAAACGGAAAACTGGAAGCGGACAGTTCAGAGTGCTCAGGTGCTGCTCATCAAGAGTCCTCCGTCCCAGAGTCATCTTCATCATAGCAACAGTCCTCATCTTCCTCTTCATCGTCGTCTAACTCCTCATCATCATAGTAGTCGTCGTAGAATAAGGTGGAGCCCTCGTCGGCAGGTGGGGCGCGGGTACGGACGCAGTATTCGGCCAGCGTGGTGGGCACCTTCACCCCGTCCCGCTCGGCGTCGGCTTTGGTGGCTAGAACCTGCTTCCTGTGAACAGGACCAAACCATGCAGTTGAGTGCAACACGCAAAATACAACACAAATGCTATGCATGCATATGTCTAGATGTATTTGTATATGCATCATATTCGCTAAATGAAATGTGCTCTACCACACAATTAATCACAAAATATGACGTGCATTTTGTAGCATTTTTGCTTTTGATAACCATTTGTAAGGTGAAGTAGTCTTGTATTATCACTTAATCATCAGAAAAACTGCCACAAAGACAAAGATTTCGGTCTTCCCCTCAGCCAGATTACAACTATTTGCTCTATTCATAACTGATTTCGCATGTATGAATGATTCTGAAGACATTATTTTTTGCCTAATCCTGATTTCAAGGTTAGAATTATGGCAGCGATAGAAGAAAAAAAAAATTCTGCTACAACCAATCAGTGACAGAAAATGGCAGAATTTGTGTATTTATAAACTTATGTAAAGTTCTTTCACATTAAATGGAGTACTTGACCATTTTTCCACACCTTTGCAGATTGTAAATTAAAAGATAGATTTTTAATACTTTTTGATAAGTGCATTATAGCCGATACATATATATATATATGATTTGAAAAATCCTCAATTTGTGAAAAGAACTTTACATGATGGGATTTGTAAATTTTTTTTAGTTAATCAGGGCTTTTTTTGCAAATCGACAGAAATTTTTCTTCGAATGCAGGGCTGTGTAATAGATGTGAGCATAAATGGATGAAAAGGTTTTCTGGCACCTGATGATCTCCGCGTATTCGCGGTCTTTCCCCTTACTGTCCCTCCATTTGCGGTACATGACGGAGGCGTCCACGTTGGCAGGCGAGAATGTGTTGGGCTCATTCAGCAGCGAGATAACACTCAATAGGATAGTCCTGAAAGGGAAGCAGATATCAGCTGATTAAATTTAACTAATTTGGCTTAATTATTGATCTCAAACTGTTGAGGCGTAACAGAGAAGAAAAGGTATTGTGCAAAGAATCACAAGGGAAACTGCTATTAACATTGCAGTCTAAATTTATGAGCGAATTTGGTTTTTGTAAAATTCTGTTGTACCTCACATTCTGTGTTGGATTCCACCTCTCTGACGGCAGTTCCCCACTCTGGGGATCGTCCACTGGTGGGTGCAGTATGGAAATACACACGTCGCCATTCTGAAATCATGCTAACTTGTTAAACATCTGTCATGCCTATTTTTGATGACTTTAAAAATAATGCTTAGTTTCATAAAATACTATTAAAAAGATGCAATAATTTGACATGATTCAGTTTAAATGACTTAAATTGGCTTTTTAATTCATTTTTGTTATTGTATATAACAACATTAACATTCGGGTTTAAAAGTCTTAAACCACTAGTGAAATTTTTCCACATTTATGTTAAAAAGTTAGATTAACAACATTAAAACGGAGCAAACTGTAAATGTATTTACATTTATTTACATTATTACTATTATAATTGAACTGATTTTAATTGAAAAGCTGCTTTGAAGCAATTTTTATTGTATAAAGTACTATATAATTCCTTGTGTGTGTAAACATACTTGGTAATAAAGCTCTTTTTGACTTCTGGAGAAGAAAAAAAAAACTTGGCTTGATAACCTAGAAATATTTCTTTACATTAAATTCTTTGAATTAAATTAGATTTAAAATGCCTGGGTATTACCCAGGCACAGCTGTGTCGCTGTATTGAAACCCTACTGAAAAAGACAAAGACAATAGAAACCATCACAGAAATTCTAATGGTTTCCACTACAAATACCATTACAAACCATCAACTTTTAACCATTAAAAATGGTTTCCTGTAGTGTGTTTTGGGACATATTCCATTAGGATTTAGCGGTTTTATCAAACCACCAATAAATAGAAGGTGACCAATTACCAGTAGAGACCAACAGGCACCATTACAGTTTCCTTTAAAACCAATACAATTCCCATTATAACCAGTAAAACCATTACGAATTCTGTGATGGTTTCTGTTGTTGTTTTTTTCCACAGGGAAGCATTTAGTTGGACAGACTGTTGGACAGATATAAAAATCAGGAATATCTGTTTGAAGAAAAAATAAATAAAAATATCCTGACCTGGAAAATAAATAAAAAGGTCAAAAGTGAACAGCCAAAAGGCCCAGAGTACTCTGTGTTCCAACAACTTATGTAGGGCTCACATGGATTCACAAGGTGTGGAGGGGAATAAACATCACTCACTCATTTCACAGTAGGTTTTTTTTGTTACGCTCCATTCCTCACCATAGGTTTCCTTGGAGACAGCGACACATTCATACCCTCCTGGGAGACTTCAAGTTTTTCCCATCACCCTCTTGTCTAAATCGATCCGCCAATCTGCAACAGTCGAGGAGTGGGTGAGAACAACACTCCTGTCTAGAGGGCAAGGCCTTGTTATAATGGGTTAAGGATGCTTCATATGCAGTAGATCTGCTTGTAAAGAAGCACAAAGTCTCAGCACAACACAGAATGTGGTTATACGTTGAGTTTATTTGCCCTCCAAGAGAAGCGAAAACCTTTTACAGGGTTCCCACGCTGTTTGACCAATGCAGTGATATGAGTTTAAGTGATTTATGATTACTGGATTTAAAAATGAATACAAATTTTCATAATTTTGATTTGATTTTTTATTCATGTTTTCAAAATTAAACTAAATGAATAAACTTCCATGATTTATTTTATTTATTTATTATTTTAATGGAACCCTGTTATAAAAAGGACGTTCCTGGTTTAATAAAACCAATTAATCTATTAAAAAAAAATTGTCCTGGCTTAGTGAATTTTAGCAACGGCTCTGGGACGGACAGATCGGATACTGTAGATTATCAGTGCTTTACGCTGTGGTGCCTCCAATCAAAGGCCTTTCAGTTTAGCTGACCTTCAAGCCAGGTCTGTCGACAACATAATTGAGCAGCAGAACTCCAGACTGCAATGATGTCCTTCAAAGGACCTTCATAATAGATCTTGGCATATGAGTGCTGTAGCAAACCCCATTCATTCTTCATTCAAATGAAAGCTCTACCACCAATGATCAATGCCTTTTAAATGCAAATTATTCCTTCACATCCATTTTTCTTATGGAATGACTTCCTAGCATAAGCCTTTTCTTCATTTACACAGTACTATGAAGTAACTTCACGTATACAAGGAAATAACATCATAAGCATGTTGAGATTTTGAAATTATAACGATCACACTTTATTTTAAGGTCCAATACTCACCATTAACAAACAATTAACTACAACTTTTGGCTCAAACTCCTAATTTGCTGCTTCTTAATAGTTAGTTAGGTAGTTGTTAAGTGTAGGTATTGGGTAGGATTAGGGATGTGGAATACGGAGCAAACTGTAAATGTATTTACATTTATTTACATTATTACTATTATAATTGAACTGATTTTAATTGAAAAGCTGCTTTGAAGCAATTTTTATTGTATAAAGTACTATATAATTCCTTGTGTGTGTAAACATACTTGGTAATAAAGCTCTTTTTGACTTCTGGAGAAGAAAAAAAAAACTTGGCTTGATAACCTAGAAATATTTCTTTACATTAAATTCTTTGAATTAAATTAGATTTAAAATGCCTGATTTTCAACATGGAAATCTGAATATTAGCATATCCATATCCAAAATATAATGCATTCAATTTACTACATTCAGTTCCTCATTTAAGGTAACAGATTGTTTACTAATGTCAAAGCAATTATGATGGTCAAATGAGGTAAATTCATTTCCTACATGAATTTATTTCATTTTTTTTTAAAGGTAACACTCATAATGAAGACATTATTATAATATATTTTTATAGTTAAATGAATTATAATTTAATTAAATGATATTAATGTAAATGTGTTATTTTAAGCCAAACAAATGTTGATCAGGCTTTGTGTAGACTAACCTCATAGATGTTGGGATGCCACATCTTGGTGAGGAATCTGAAGGCAGGGGGAGAGTACGGGTAGTCGATGGGGAATTTGATACGTGCCTGGAAGAAATAACACATACATTAGGGAATGGATGTAATGGCACATTGTCTTCCAATGATACGTGATGAAGCACAGAGCCACTCAATGGAGCAATATAATGCCAATATCCACGATCTCTACCGGTGCTGTACAGCTTTGTCATTCAACTACTAAATACACCTCCATGACACATTTTAATGACATATTCATTGTTTAAGTGGTAAAAACGTGGGTTTATTAAAAGAATACCTCATGCACCAACAGACAAGATGAAAAATCAAGTGGTACCCTTGGTATGTTTTTCATTTGAGAATATCGGATTTAACTGAAAGCCTGCTACAAGTTAAGCTACCATCTGCAACACAGCCAAACAGCATATAAACTGATTTGTGGCACAGACTGATAATCCGTCCTTTATTTGGACAGAAGACTCCAAGCATGTAGCAAAACACACATCCTCAACATGTATAAATACTACTAGTTGAAAGCATGAACTCTACTGTAGGCTTCATTTGGGTGTTAACGGACAGAATTGGCAACACAAGTATCCAGGTTGTATGCACCATCTACTTTTTATAGTTCACTAAATAACATCATAAGCATGTTGAGATTTTGAAATTATAACGATCACACTTTATTTTAAGGTCCAATACTCACCATTAACAAACAATTAACTACAACTTTTGGCTCAAACTCCTAATTTGCTGCTTCTTAATAGTTAGTTAGGTAGTTGTTAAGTGTAGGTATTGGGTAGGATTAGGGATGTGGAATATGGTCATGCAGAATATGTGCTTTATATGCACTAATAAAAAGGCAAAATGTGTTAATTATAGGCATGCTAAGCAGCAACTAGTTAATAGTGAGAATTGGTCCCTTCACTAAATGTTACCATTATGACTATAGGCCTGTCATGATCCATTTGGCACACTTAAATATACAAAAGTAATGAAGGACATAATGGTATTACTTGATTTCGTGCTGCTTTACTATGAATAAAATGCAGCAACTTTACCCAAATGTTTATATATATATATATATATATATATAAATTATTTTTTAATTACAAATATCAT